TTGGTGTGCACACACCATAAGAACAAAACACACATGGACACAATATATAAATCAGTTATGGGCACAATATTAAAAAAAAATGCTTAACTTGCTTTGTTTTGTGTTGAGAGAATCATTGTTCATATTGAGCAGTGAGGAACTTTCGTGATGCATCTGGATGAATCATTCCAGTTGGAGAAAGGCGAGTGGACTAACACCATTAGACATAGCACGTATAGGGCTGCTGTGAACTCTCACCATTATTCACTCTTGGAGACCTGTAATTAATCTACTGATCTGTGGCTAATTGCCGTTTCAAGGTTGAGAGAATCCGCTGAGCTGCAGCTTTTTCCGTAAAAAAAGAGTGTCAACCACAGCAGAAAGGAAACTGAAATTATGCAATGAAGGACTCACCGGAGAGTTGAGGAAAGTTGTGTCTTCCCAAAAAAACAACACCAGACCTGTCAAAATTGGCAATTGGGCTAAACTAAGCTTGCGAAACTGAGACGACCAATGACGTAAGAAATGTGGGAAAAAATATGGTTTGTGCCACTAAATCTTAGGACAAGGAAACCGAAGTCAATCGTTGCACATTCAGTAACAATTACATCATATTCTGGGATCATATTCAGTAAATTTCTGGGAAATTGTTTTTTGTTTCCAAGTCTTTCCAAGGTGTACACGCATTCAGGGTGAGCATGTTGCAGCACGCTCGACATGCAAAGAACATGGGAAGCAGGAAACAGAACAGCGACTCAATCAGAAAGTATGGCATTGCATTCAGACCACACTGCTGTTGGCGTGACTCAAAGGAAGAACATGTTCCTCTCAATATCTACCCTATGATGACCAAACCCAAGGAATTGGCCCTCTCATGCCCCTTACAGCAAGTCCTGTCATGACCAAGGATCTTTTCCAGTAATGCTTCACCACAGGGACACGCTGAATCCAGAGCAGTTTGGAAATAGATGTTAAAAAAATAGAGCTGAACTGTATGGAATTCATTCAGCCAGCTGTTACATTATGGTGAATTCTCAAAGGGTGGCAAATTATGCTGGAAATATACACATGCATGCAGAGACATATTCCGTATGATGAACTAGCGATTTAAATAAAGCGAGACGCCAACACATTCTTTGGCAGCACTAAGGAAAAAGCAATTTGCTGCTGAAACAAGACTTCGTTGAGGTCAATACAGGGCCTTTGAGATTATTGTTTATGCCCCATGGCTTCAAATATGGAAGTGTTTATGGACAGAAATAAACTACGTTAGGTGTGGATGCATTTGTCCTTTGACACCTGTCGACGTAACGGCTCTTTCACAGGCAACAGGACACGCTGCAAACGACGATATGCAAGCTTGTTGAGTAGCCTGTCTAAACAATAAACATGTACATGTGACACACATTAGCTCTGTTACAAAATTGAGCTGACTGCCTAGACAGACATTTAAGGCCCTAGTCTCATCAGATAACCTCTTTTGGTCAAAGATTCAGGCAGCATCACGTGTCTTTGCGGAACAGTAAACCTCAGTTTGCACTGTGGCAAGTTTATTGGGAGAAAAAAAACATTTAAGATGTCAGTCAAAGCAAAATAATTGTTAATTATTAGTAGAGAATAAAATACAAAAAAAAAGAAAGAGAAAAATGAAAAATCACTACTTGTGTAGTAGTACTCCCAAATATATTTTATAATAATTTTATTATAATTTACTTAAATTATTCAAAGTTGGGCTTCACTACTGTACTCTTGTTTGCAGCCAAAGTAGATAAATACAATTTATTTATTGGCAGTACTACACTGTTATTTGTAACATTAAAGGCATTTAACAAATTTGTATATATTAAGTGAAAGTATTAAAATACATTAATAAAATGTATATATTTATTCAAAAATAAATGAGATTATTTTTATTCCAATATTAGCACCATTATTAGCAGCCAAAGGTATTAATAAAATGTCATTTATTCAGCTGTGTGCAATGAGTGCATTCAGGGCAGTGTGCAAATTGTGCAAAGAATGATGGGAAATGTAGTCCGGGGTGCTATGCAACAGTTTGATTAGTGCGAGAGTCAATGAAATGGAAAGGGTGACCGCTGGCGGTGAATGACTCTGGACGGACAGCTGAGACGTGACGAGACTCTGGACGGACAGCTGAGACGTGGTGAGACTCTAGAAGATCAGCTGTGACGTAACGTGACTCCGGATGATCAGCTGTGACGCGACGGGACTCCGGATGATCAGCTGTGACGTGACTCATGAATATAAACTGACTCGATTTGACTCATGACGATCAACAGTGCCTAGACTCGACTCAGGAAGATTAGTTGTGACATGACTTGACTCTGGAAGATTAGCTGGGACTAGACTTGATGGGAAATGTTGTCCGGGGTGCTATGCAACAGTTTGTGTAGTGCGAGAGTCAATGAAATGGAAAGGGTGACCTCTGGTGGTGAATAAACAGAAGTCCATGGACTGAATTTGTGACAATTTACTATACACTATAAATTGAGAGTGTTACACTCTTAATTGTATTTAAAAGCATTAATCAAGATTATTTAATATATTAAGCGAAACTACTATACTCATGCTATCATTATGTAGCATTAAAATCATTAAACAAATTGAATATAAAATAATTGAGAGTGCTACACATATTTAACTGAAAGCATTAATCCCATTTATATAATTTATTTAATTTATGCTTTTGGCTACAAATAAGTGTAGTAGACTAACCTAATATGAATAAATACATTTGATTAATTCTATAGATGTATATTGTCACTTAATAAATGTACATTTTGATTAATGCTATCAGCTACAAATAATAATCATTTTTCAATCTATTCTGCTGATTTTTCACAAAAATTAGCCTAAGAAAAACATTCACATTTTCTGTCTGGACCTACTTATTAGATTATTACATTATTAGCTTAGCAACATGCTAATTTCCAATGTCACTTGACTCTCTCGTACAGAGCACTGTGTATATGCTGCATGGAGTTGCTTCTTGTATAGATTGTTCCAAATCACTCACTATGCACCAAATCACACACCTATGAGGTAACATCTCAGTTAGGCCTAAATTAGTAATGCCTATATAGGTAGTAGACAGCAAAGCAGCTCACTAAGTTTGTAATCAGAGTCTATGTTGCCACTCCGTCATCAACTAGAAATTAAATCTAGACAGATTTTAGTGATTCATAATAATGACAAAGTAAGAGTCTCTCATGCAGTGTCTACATTATATATGAACAGTCAAGTACTTCCTGTTGTGTGTTGTAATGAAGGTGTTTCGGTGTGGGAGTTCGCCATGACTAAAAGCTTTATCTGGGAAATTCACAATGGCGGACGCCTCCAATCAGGCATTTTCCACACCGAATCACTTAAACGTGTCTCATATGAGTTGCCACTCATTAATATATGAACTATCATGAATGAGGCAATAAGATTGTGCGTGTGAGGTATGTTTCTATCAGTCTGCCTGCATCTGTCGCGCGTTGGTTTGTTGTTGTTGTGTCAGACTGAAGTGCTGTGAATTCTTGGCACGAGAGGCCTATAATCACAACCCACACCCATAACCCACACAGTACAGAGTAACACCCACCCACACACACACACACAGCAGTCACATGAACATCCTGTCATCCCCCTGAACAGGACTGGACAGACCGCAAGCATTTACACCCTCTCACACAGTGAAATAATCGCAAACAAAGTATGCCTATCCTGAACGAACGCGAAATGGACATGGAGACACACATGGATGAGAAACATTCAGCCCATTCACACAACTCTACACCACCTACTTAAAGAGACAGTTCACCCAAAAATGAAAATTATGTCATTGTGTATTCACCCACATGTCCAAAAAATGATTTTGTAATGACAGTATTTTCATTTTTAGGTGAACTTTTCCTTTAAGCCTTTGTTTTGATTTCCTCTTTGACTGTTGCAAAACTCCCCTCACATCTTCCTGTCACGGGACCGCAGGAGGAAAGGTGAATGAGTTTAAGGCTTTCTTTCCCTCTAAGTTCATCCCTGATCACGTTCACTCCCCGACGATGACTATAGCTACAGCTCAACAACTTTCACAACGCATGACTCACAAACGCACAATCGGATCTGTTGCCGTCAAGGGCGCGCTGACCCTTTCATACACTTTCAGTTCTAATCACATTTGAGGCCTCGCTCACATTTTCCTGATTTTCTTTTTATGATCTGGCTGGCTCTGTTTATGACTCGCCACTGCCAATCATAGTTTTCGTAGTTTGGAGAACAGCTGCCCAACAGTGAACTCAACTTGAGATTCTGTTATGATTTTAAAATGACAGATAAGCAGATAATGGCCAGTATTAAAATTCTATGCTGTTTTGTCTAAATATATTTAAAAAAATAAAACCAGAGTTAAAACACTTAACTAAAATTAAAACCATTAAAAAATAGTGTTACTATTTTTATTACTTGAAATAAAATGTAAAAAAATTGTGTTAGACGAAAATGAATGTAATAAAAAAAATAGCATTAGATAAAAATGTGTGTTAGATGAAGGCAAAGGTAATCCAAATGTAAAAATATGTGAAATGAGCATGCACAATTAAATATAAAATATTGGCCAATGTCAATCACCATCCCTAAGCCCAAAGTATACTTCATTTTTTTAATGCATACACTAGGGTATGCATACAGTGCATGTGGCGTAAAATTCATGCATACTCACATATGGTCCTTGAAAATTAGTGGTGAGACAGGTGGCCCAGCCTGTTTGTTTTTTTTTCAAAAAAAGGAACTGAGAAGATAAAACTACAAATTACTTGAGATGCAACAACAGTAGATGCCCACATTGGCAATCTCTTGAGTGAGGAGGTTAACTGTGATCATAACTTCTGAAGAGAAATAGTGCAAACTGGACAAGAATAAAACTTTCTAAGCCCCTGTGTTTGTGCACGCTATCAAATGGAGTATACTTTGAATGTCCTATGTGTTTGGCTGCATGCATACACTATGTATTTGCGTCAAAACTTTGTGTTCTAGTTAGTTCTAGTTAATATTAGACACTGTAATATTCCAGGCAAAGGGAACTGAGAAGCCTTCATATTCGAAAACTGGCACAGAATCTTGACCGTCAAAGTTCATGATTCTGACCTTCCCATGAAGAGCTCACTATTTGTCCGTAAGGTCTAAACCAGTGCATCTGGAATGGACCAAAAGGCCGTTTCATGCACAAGGTCATGTACTTTTGCAGAATGCCTACATTTCCCAAGCTCCTGCATCATGGCCAGCAAAGGGCTTGACCCGGGATCTGCTGAAGGTCTCCTTTAATTGTTTTCAGCAGGGCACCACAACTGAATAATTAAAGTGGCTCTACCTCTCCTGGCTTTTGAAGTTTAGGGCCTCTTCCTCAACCTTCACTTGGATTCTTTTCTTTTTCTCATTTCTTTCTTTCTTTCGAGGCTACCACTTCACTCCACTGCGTTCCTCCCCCTTCGCTCTCTCTTTCTGCCCACAGGCACTACACCCCCTCTTCTGTTTGACAGACTTCCTCCTACTCCTTTGCCCCCTGGCCTCGTCCCCAGGGCCTTGTGCACCCCCTGCATTCTTCTACGCTGACGTGCCGTGTTTACACAGACGTCGTACTGGAAGTCCGCACTCACCAAGTTTAAGAATGACATTTAAGCATGCAAAAATTCCTTTTTACTGGTATTTTGCCATTTAAGCTTTCAAACTTGGAAATTAAAGTCAGGCAGTTAAAGATAGAAAGGACACTTTGACTTTCTGAGTGCACAACACAAGAGCAGCCTTTGTGAAATGACATTTTGGAGCTTGCTTTATTCTTTCTTATTGTTCGTTCATGGTAAGTTGTTCAGAGCGTCTATGGTTGGTTTTTGTAAAGTTCTGGGTGATAACAGACTTTCAAAAAAGCAGGTTTTACTTTTTAAGACATTTGTGACTAATTAAGATCCTTAAATAGACAAGTTTTAGCAGCTAGCAGAATTCCAGAACGTGAATTAGCAGTGCCCCTATCGAGAAGGTCATCTTTTTCCATCGCATACACGTGCGTGCTGCCTCAGACAGCCAGCACATTCAAATGTCATTGTCTGCAGACTTGTTGCATAATTCATGCTCAGTAAAAAAAAAAGGGTCATAGAGTTCTAACTGATCCTAGGTCTTGGTTGCTTCCCATTGTGCAATGTTTCCCAAACTCCTTTTTCTTTAAAACCTGCCAATGGGATATTATATTTAAACAAAATTGATTTGGAAACCAAAACTTTATACTAGAAGGTCATTGGGCCACCTTTAAATATGCAGAAACCACGCCGTGACCTTCTCAAGTGTGTAACCACACACTGTTCACACGTGAGAGTTTCACACTTGGTTCAGTTGGTTGGTCCGAACGAGTGCTCAGTTCTGCCTCACTCCCTCTTCCCCCGCAGACCTCTTTTCATATTATCATTACAGTCCAAACCGTGATATGTCAGCATCACAGCATGAATATCACTGTTAGAGTAGCGGTATTGAAGTAATGGGGCTTTTGATTTACCACCAAAACTTTACACTGTGGCAACAAGAAAGAATGCAAGCTACTCTCCAAAGGCAACTTTTTTTTTAGTTTGTGCCAATCACTTTCATATCAATTGCAAATCATAGCAGGGTTCAGATGAGCCAAAACTTGGGTGCCTAAAAACCAAGACAAAGTCTAGTGTATAAACGGCCTAAAGCTAAAATGCACCAATTACAGCAATTGTAAGTGTCTCGAGTTCAATCAGATTCTCGCCCAGCCAGACATACATACTGATTCCAGCAGCCTCTCCGGGGGCGGTTAAGTACAGCCACACACATTCAGCGCCCGAGTTGGAGTGTGAAAACAGGGGGGGTCGCAAATGGGGAGTGGGAGGCAGCCACAGTGAGCGTCCGGCTCAAAGGTGACAAGGCTCAGGGCCGCTGAATCGGCTCCGCACAGACGTTGCCCTTTGTACAGAAACGCCCATGCACCACCATCCCGCCTACACCCAGTGCTCTCCACTCTAAACGGAACGATGCTCCCTCTCTCTCCCCTCGTTAACCGGCGTCGCCTGTTTTTTGAAAGCCAGTGTCTGGCTGAGGCGTCCGGCCTCCGCCAAAGAGACGCATACAGTCCTTAAAGGTACTTTCGGTTTGAGTAGGCATGAAGTGAGTGGGAAAAATAGGCTCTCTCTAAACATGGATTTATGTGCTTGATGTTAATCAAGGGCTCAGCGTGTGTTTTGCCAGCTTAGCTTTGACTCATTGTTATGTCGTATTAAAGCAGCTGTAAAAATCCAACTTGGCAGAGGGAAGGAGGATGATAAGGATACAGAAGACAGTGAACTTACAGTTAGTCCGATATTAGTGCCCTTTACCAAATTAATGAACATTACTGTGCAAAGTTCATTTAGGATTTTTCTAATTTAACACATTTTTATTATAAATTATAATATCAGCATGACAGTTAGAAGTTAATTTGTCCCAATTTTGCTTACTTGATTAGTGACCTAGAAATAGTGTAGAATCATAGTGTACAATGTTTCTTTGATTATTTCCAGGTTTGAATCTCAGATTTTCAGTGTGGACGTTTGTTTTTCAAATATAACTACAACTGTGAAACAAGATTCTGCATGTGCTAAAAGATGCTAAAATGCTGAAGGTTCTTTGTCTTATGCTAAAGATGTTAAAATACTAAAGGTTCTTGACTCTTTCCCATTAAGAGGTGTTCACACTGACAAAGGTTTACATATATATAACAGCATATGGGTTTGGAATGACAGGAGGGTGAGTAAATAATGACTGAATCTTTTGGTTGAATGCTCATTGCTGACTTATAGGGCTAAATTATATGTTGACTGACTCACAGGCAGGAGACAAAATTTTGGTGGGCTACCCTGCCCACCACATGGATTACTAGCATGGAACATCCTATGTACTTTGCTTGAAATAGTAATGCCTGCATGTTTCACCTCTATTTTGTAGGATACCTTAGAGAGGAGAGGCCTTGCTCCAGGCCACCTGTGCCTAAAGAGGATTCATCATGTCCTCTGTCAACACCACCTGCCCTGGCTTGTGTGGACTGAGTTCAAATGACTCCCACACAGAGCCGAACCCTTATATCGCATGCCCAACTGGGTTAGATAAGAGTGTGTGTGTGTTCAAGGTTCTGTGCATCCCATTTGGAAATCACCAGCCTTGCATATCAAATATGGCCATTCCTTAGTATTTCTTGACGGAAAATCATTCATACACAGCGCTGGCAGGATACAAATTATTAAAAACTGAAATACAGTTCATAGATCGGGAAGAAGGAGGCGGGAACCGGCGAACAATCAAACAAAACTTTAATAATAAAATAAACAAACACAAAATAGCGCGAACCAAACAGACAAACAGAACCAGGGGTCCTTGGTTTGAAAACATTTGAGCAACCCTGATTTAGTAGATGCAACTTAAAAGTGCTTTACCACAGTAGCAAAAGTGATTTTATATTTATTAGTTTGAAGTGCTTTTATGATTGTGGATTATCTCCTCATTTTCTGTTTACCAAGTTTGATCAAAGTGAAATGTTCATTCGAGGCGTAATACAATACTTGGTTTTGAAATGATTCATAACTCACTTGACATCAAAGGAATGTTCTGAATGCATATATCGCTCTGCCTTCGTGAACATATATTGTGAATATATATATATATATATATATATATATATATATGAACATATATTATGAACTCCTTCCAGTGAGTGCACTGATGCCGTTTTCCATCTGCAGACAAAAGCCCATGTGTGCGCGCTGTGAAGGCATGCAGCATGACCTGAGGGTCCATTCGGCGCATGACAAAACAAGCTCGAGTGCTGCATGAGGCACAGAACGGGGATCTAGCGTTTGTTCCATGACTTCAAACTCCCTTTTTCCCTCTTCTGCATTTTTTCCTCCTCTTTGGTCCCATCTTTATTTTTCTTTTGTCGTCATTTTCTTCCAGCCTTTTTGCACGGTATTCCCGGTCTCCCCCCTCTCCCAGCATTCCTTTGTGAGTGGGTGGAAGGTTGAACGGGCATGTGTGAGTCCAAAGGGGGCAGATGAAGGAATGACTAGTACACTATGAAGGGGGGGGGGGGGGAGCAGGGTGAGAGGATCAGAGGGAGAATTCTTTCAGCACAAAGTAATAGAGTGTTTCATGACGGACGGAGGGGGGGGGGGGGGGGGGGGGCTACCGTGCGAGGTATCTGAGGTGGTTTGAAGGCCCTACCATGGGAAAAACTTGCCCTAGACAGCTGTCCTCTGCTGGATCAGCTACTCTACTCAAGAGGCCTTAGTCTTTTTCTCAGGCCCTAGAGGTGAGCTGATCAGTGGGAGACCCCTACTGGTGTGTTTTTGCCACTGCAATGTCCTTAGAGAACTTTAGTGGCCAAATGCACAGTACAGTATGTGTTGATGGATATATTATATCAAGGCCCTAACCCAGTCTTGAACATTGGGGCAGACAAAACTCATTTAATTACTAATTACATAAAAAACTGCAAAAATCTTCAAAAAAAAAATCAAGTAGTTTGCACTACTGCATATTACTATCTGTCTTTTAACATTTCTGTCTTAATTGTCAGATGTTTAGCTACTGGTAAGATAAAGCACTATTTCACCATTAGAATGCGTCACGCAAGAATAATATTCGGTTTGAATAGTAAATACCCATCTTCTTTGATTTGGAATTATTTATTATATATTACATATTAATAAATATACTTACTTATACCATATATATATATATATATATATATATATATATATATATATATAATTGATTTTGACAAAAAATTAGTAAATGCTTAAATAACAGGGGAAGTGTTATTTACATCTGTACTTTCGGGTATTTTATTTTGCATTATATTTATGGTTTCCAATTATGAGGCTCTGTTTATTAGGCATTTGGCTATAGCTAGATGACTGTACACCAAAATACAGTCATTTTGATGTTGATTTGACATGGGAACCATCTCATCGCTTTCAAAAGTTAAATCATGCAAAATTATCTGATTAGTTGCATTTTGTATTATTCGCGATCCATTTTTGTGTCGTGACCCACCAGTTGAGAAATGCTTACTTGGTGATTTCCTCAAAAGAGCTATACAAGGTAGGCTACTTGTAGCACAGGAAGTCGGTTCATTTTACAAATCTGGGTGCAATCCGAATGCATGAGAAGCACTACATCAAGTCAAATATGTGGCACTGTTACATTGCGCAAATCAAATTCACGGCAGACGTTTGTTATGGGCTCAGGGTGCTGCCTCAAGCACATTATCTTATTGTGCAAAGAACAATGGCAGTGAATCAAAAATGTATTTGGGATTGTTAGGCAATACAGGAGGGGTTGCAAACAAGGCGGTGTTGTTGTGCCAAGGTGTCAGTGTGTGTGTCACCCTGCATTTCCCATCAAACCTTCTTTGATTTACGGCCACTTTGCACCTCTCCGTCTATTTATTTCATCACATGTTTGTTTGGTTTCATTTCCACTCCCCCAATCAAACAGGTTTTTTAGAGGCCTAGCTGGTCTGTGGGATGCTGGTGAGGGGGCAGGACAGGAAGAGGTGGGCGACCAGAGAATTGCATTTCCTTGTGCGTCTCCACTCCCTGCCCTCAGGTTATCGATTCAGCTCCTACTAAAACAGCACACACCCACATGGGCTGGTGCAATACACATGCATTTGTTTGGCCGCGGACTCACACATGTACAAGAAATACACATGTACGTAATGCACTTGATCCTCCGAGCTCTACAAATAAAAAGCTTTTTGCGTTTTTGGCTTGTTTGCGGTTGTTCATTTTACACCATTTTCTCTCCCTCAGCTCACACATTAGAGCCCACACAGATATGATACATGCACACACACACACACACACACCTCTACATGCCTCTTCACTCAGACAGCTCATCCAAAGGGACAGTGCAACATTATGACTCACACAGCCTAATTATCTAAATCGAAGAAAAGGTGTTGGATCAAATCAGGACAGGGTCTATTTATAACCCCGTACCCATTTATATTTCTCTCAAAATGTCTTGCATGCATTTAATCATTTCCAGAGAACTGAAGCACACTGATGTCTCTGTTCATGCCGTTTGCCAAACATGGTCCGCAAGTCAGGTTTGGTAAATATTGTGTAACTACTGAAGTGACAAAGAGATAATTGCATATTTGTGTATTTGCCTGAATGACGACGACTCAAGTGGGTGACTCTCAGGAAAACATGAATCCGGGTCATTGTGACATTTCATGGCAAGATTAAAAGGAAAAAATGCAAATAATATTTCACGAAAAAAACAACAACCAAGGTCTGTTTTTTGGACCATTAAGATTTTTGCATTTTGACATTTCATGACATTTAAGCACATTTAACCCTTCTATTCTCATTACCATTATAAGTTTTTTGGTATTTATTTTTATTTATTTATTTTTTAGAGTAAAAAAAAAGTTTTAATAAAAGGTTTTATTAACATGAACTAACAACTTATATATATATAGCAACTGCAAACAGCAACTGCAAAAAAGCAAATAAAGCAAAAAAGATTGATCTTTTTCTTTCTTTTGATTTTGGATTGAAATATGACCCAGACATGTCCTTGACAGGTTTCCTGACATTCAGCATAGGTGAGAAATATGAATCTTTAAAATACCTCTGTCAGGATTTTAATGTTTTTTTTCTACCCCTCCACCCCAGGTAAATTATCAGCCATCTCCTGACATCAAAGCAGCTTTCATCATATTATCATTCTCTGAGGTGCACACATCTTGAAAGCCTTTCGTAAATACTTGATTAATATTGCGTCCATCAACGTGAGGATCAGCAACTCTTTGAGCGCTGAGAGAGAGGAGGGCAGACATGAAAACAGGAATGTTTCATTGGCATCAGCTAGTGTATAATTGGCTCGTAAAAGTCTAATTAGTCTTACAACCAGCAGGAAGGCAATGAACACAAACAAAATTATAATATGCAACGCACCAGCTGATGGGCAAAGTTGGTTTCCATCAGCATCTGTCAGTCATGTACATATGCTTCAAATCGTCCAAAGCAAATTGTGTTTGACAAGGGAATTCAAATGTTTAATCTTCCCCTCTATTGTTTATCCTCCTCCTCTGGTCTTTCATATTTGTTTAGTATTTTTAATATTTACACCGTGTTATTTATTCCTCTATGCCATATTTGCTAGTTTGTGAGTGTAGGCGCGGATTAACGCACAGGCTTGCCTAGGCTGCAGCCTAGGGGACCCACGTGTGCAGGGGCCTCGGATTGGCTGGACTATTTTTTTATTATTTTAAATTTTCTTAAGTGCAAACAAAAAAGACCCTCGTTGGCCCATAAGAAACATCAAAGGAGGATTGGTTGCAGAGCGACTGACAACACCACCGAGAGTTCCAGCGATCGTTAAATCGAAATTGAAAATAAAACGCGCCCGCGCATTCAAACGCGATTTCAATACCTCGAGTTTTGAGAGCGACTCCCAATGCACGCAAATTAGGCTACATAACATCAGTGCGTTCCAAACGGGATATATCGCCCTCCAAAAGGCACTTCGGAGTGAAAACAATCATGGCCGCCATATTGAAGGGTCGTTCCATACCGAAGTGCTCAAAACTGGCAAAACTTCAAAGGGTCCTTCGGAATGAAGGATGTCGAAGGTTACAACCAATGGACACTTCGGGCTCCTGTGATCCTTTGCGCAGATTCTTTGCATGATGACGGCGCCTCCGTGGGCACGGGATAATGACGCAGAAGGGCACTTCAAGAAACAGTTGTTTGGTCCCCTACACCCTTCAACCCTTCGAAGCTCTCACTCCGGAGGGTAAACCCTTTGAAAGATTAGGGCGTAAGGATGAGCCCTTCCGAGTGGAACGCGGAGCATATCTAGGCTGTTATTAGTATGTAGGCTATAATAGGTTTTGTAGTTGTCTATAGCTCTGCATCTTGCTTGAAATAGACGCAGATTCTTTGCATGATGACGGCGCCTCCGTGGGCACGGGATAATGACGCAGAAGGGCACTTCAAGAAACAGTTGTTTGGTCCCCTACACCCTTCAACCCTTCGAAGCTCTCACTCCGGAGGGTAAACCCTTTGAAAGATTAGGGCGTAAGGATGAGCCCTTCCGAGTGGAACGCGGAGCATATCTAGGCTGTTATTAGTATGTAGGCTATAATAGGTTTTGTAGTTGTCTATAGCTCTGCATCTTGCTTGAAAAAATTGGTCTCTATTTGCACTTTGAATAGAGAGAGAGCACTTAATGTTCACACTTAATACGCCTAAGAAAGAACTTGTTTATTTTTTAATTATTTATACTGTTTTTATTTCTATGTTCAATTTGTGAAAAGGAGTTCAGTTAGGAGGTCAAACGTTCTAGAAGCTCATAATTCATGTACAGTTCTAAGGTCTGAAGAGACTCAGATGAAATCATACAGAAGAGAAGCCAGCCAGTTGAAAAAACCTTTTACAGTGCTTGAGTGTTGTTGTTTTTACTGCATATGCTAATTCATACTCAGAAAGTAGAACTGAAATGACATTTGATGATTAGTTAAATTAATTTTTCGTCATGCATTTGGCCATTGAGAATCTTTTTTTTTTAAATGTGTAAAAATCTTGTGTCTCGTCTTGTGTCTTGAGTTAAGTGTTGGCATTATAATGATAATCAAACAACAAAAGACGAGGAGAAAAATCACTACCTGCTCTTGACAGAATGGCATTTGTAGCTTTTATAAGAATGTATATAGTGTAAATGGTTCCCTACCATCACATTCACATCCATGCAACCAATAAATAAATTACTAAGAAAGAGCACATATTTCTTCATTGATCTAGTCACTTCATTCTGCTCTCAAAATGCACCAGATTTATGCATTTAAATTTAAAATGAAAACATTTTTCTTATACCTGCAGAACCCCCTAGACTAGAGGAACCAATGTGCACCCATCACACAAAATCCTGTGGAGACACTGGGAATGTAGAGGAAACACTGTAGGATTGGCTGTCTCAATGTGTGTGTGTATGCCAGTTCACAATGTATGGCACTAAATACATTTCTCCAGTAAAGCATAATGATTAAGGGGGGTCCTCACACAAAGAGCAGCCTAGGGGCCCCTGACCACCTTAATCCGCCCCTGTGTGAGTGGGACTTTGACTGTATATTCTGTAAGTGGGTTTGCTTTAAATAATGACTACCTGGGAAGTTTGTAATTCCAGTCAGGTCACGAGGATCATTATAAACATTCCCTCATGTATGATGACTACGCGCCATGTCTGTTGGTTGCCAAGGCAGCGGTGTGTTCTATCAGCCGCGCGCTCACCTTGTATGAATGGAGGACCTGTGCGATTCGCGTAACAGCCTTCAGAGGCGGCGGAAGGAGGGTGGAGTGGAAGTGCGTCAATCACCCAGTGCCGGTACACGCCCACGGCAACGAGCGTTGTTTGCCAGGATACAGAAAGACTCGAGCTGCCTCTTTCCCAGGTCTCACCTCAGCGACAGCGCACAACAGCAAGCCAACACCCTTCCAGGCTCATTTCCTGTGGCTTTAGTTATTGTTTTTCTTTTCGGATTGTAGGCTATATATTAAGATGTTGTTTTGTTTATGTCCTACATATTTTATTTTAAGTTCCTCATTTGGGTAAAGACCGGTTCACAACAAGAACAAGAACTATATTTGCGTCCACACACACCAACAGACTGTCCTGTTTATCAAAAGCACGCGCTGCATCGCTTGCGGCGTTAATGCTCGTATCTGATTGGCTGGATGTTTTTATTCTTCTTGAGCTGAAAAAAAAAAATCATTCCGTGAACGATATTTCATTGTAATTGATAGTTTTCACGTGACGTCACACCCTTGTAGGCACGCCCACCTGGAGGCAAACGAAGCTTTGCCCCACTGACCGCCAGTTATTTTTACGCAGTTTAAAGTAGTAATGTAGTAAAACGCAGATATTAAAAGGCGGAATTCAGTAAACATATTATTGATTATGTATATTTTGTACAGGCAAGCAGATGATGCCAGAATATAAACTCAATGTGCAAAGTTTCACGTTAAACGGTTTCCCATAGAAAGCCATTATAAGGAAAACCCTGAACCATTAAGCGGATTGCGTTCATATTCCGGCCTCATCTGCTTGCTCATGTAAACTATGCATAGTAAATATAGATAATATTACTGTTTCAAATATATTAAGGCACTTTAAGTGTTTTAACAACGTTGTGTCGCACTGTTTAATGATTGTAATATTGCCGCGGGTGCTTAACATGGATTGCAAATGGCCAAAACTTGCATTTTGTTCACATGCCTTTGTTTTATTGTTTTGAGAGGTGATCTATAAATATCTGCGGCTGTGAAACAGATGGAAAATTGACAGGTTTGTCTTGCGGCTCTATGGATGTTTTGCCCTCCAGGTCTTCGAGCCGGTCACGTGACTGAATATGAACTTTAGTATACTTATAGAATTAGAGCCATTATTAAAACTGAACAGTTATATATCGTCCTGACCTTGGTGTGAACGGCCCTGTTTTCACACGGAACGCGGCAGTCGCGACTCGCGAGCAGTGATGGGGAAAGTTACTTTAAAAAGTAATGCATTACAACATTGCGTTACTCCCTAAAAAAGTAACGAATTACGTTACTTAGTTACTTTTTATGGAAAGTAATGCGTTACGTTACTTTCGCGTTACTTTTTAAATATGAGCAGGGCTTGGTTGTTTTTAATATAAGAAGTTATATTTATAGCAAATATAAAAGCCCTTTCACACCAAAAGGTGTAATGAATAAACCTCAGGCTGAAGGAAAAGTAAATTCACGTCTGTACAGTAGGCTAGAACACATGAGAAGAAGGTTCAACACTCTTCAGCAAAAAAAACCCCAAAACAATGAAGCACAATTGTTAGTTTATCTAAAGTCATTTTTGCTTATTAGTATGGTTGAACTGGATCATCAAAGGTCAGCAGCAAAGACATTAGTTAATACAATGGGATTAGATACATTTGTGTTATTTAACATATTTAAATATTGCAGGTTTGCTGAGTGAAATGCAAACTCATATTCTGAGTTTGAATTTCACTGTTTTAATTCATTTTTATGAATACTAAATCTGTTTTTTGCGAGTGGCATTTAGTCTAGAACTACATCATGTTCACACAGCGCACGCAACGCCTCTGTACTCCCGGTTTCTCCCAATATGGGGACAGGAGAGCTGTCAGTCAATAAATGGGAAAACAAAGTAACTGGCATTACTTTTTTGAAAAAGTAACTGATATTTTCCTGTAAATTAAAAAGTAATGCGTTACTTTACTAGTTACTTGGTGAAAGTAATCTGATTACGTAACTCGCGTTACTTGTAATGCGTTACCCCCAACACTGCTCGCGAGTATAGTTCACTTTATGCTTTTGTAAGCGGCGGCCGCGTCGGCTTTCAGCAAGATTATTAACAACCAGTCATAGAACATTTCACTGATGAAGATCATTTTAAATGTTACAGAATTTCCAGGGTTTTATGACCCATCAAAAATCTCTTAAAAACGAATCCAGAGCATGCGTTTACGAGTCGGTTTGCCAGGTAGAAATACAATTATGTGTAAAATGTCATAGTTACTGTCTAAACTACGACATGAAAACTATGCTAGTCATATTCCCGTGAAATGATAAATAGCAAATAACACATATACAAAAGTTCCGTTATGTTTTATTTAGCTTTTAGTAAATATAAATGTGGCAACATCTGCCATGAGACCGCGTGGCAAACAGCGCCTCTACTGCACAAAACGCTTCCACTATAAAGCGGCGGCCGCGCGGTGTGTGGCAGGTATGGCCAGTTGCTATGACAACAGGCCAGCACGTCCTCTTCTTCAGTGGTGCTAGAGGGTCTCTCATAGGGGGATCGGGTAGACATGATGTTCAGCTGGAGAGGGGCACAACAGAACGGTTTGTCCTCTCTATAGATGGCAGGGTATTTAGAGCTTGGCTGCGAGACTGACGCACAACTGCTGCGTTACACATGCACAAGAGAGTAATCGCTGGACAAATATGCCCTATCATGGCATTTTCCATCAAGGACATTTTACTGAGGCGAATATGATTAGCTTCCACCCAACGGCTTATTACAGAGACAGTGGTTACATTAAGTAATCGTGTGAAACGAGGTCACTTCTTTAAAGTAATATACCATCAGCTTTTACAATGGTAGATTTGGGGTTATAGTTGGACTTCCCTGGTGTGTGTGTGTGTGTATAGTCCATTTGTACATTTTCATATAGTTATATATATATTTGTGTATGTAATATATTTGTATATTTTATTATATAATTATTACATTCATAAAATAAATATTTAAATAAATATAAACATATATATGCATAACACTACATTTCTAATTATAGGCTATTGTATTTATAAATATATTATAGCCTATATTATGTATTTAATACTCACACACAAATACTTACATTTATTTGTGTTGTATTATCTATAAATAAATATACATATTTCTATTTATAATTCATTAAATTATATATTTTCGTTATTTTAATATATTTATATACTATATTATGCATGTAATATATCTAAATTGTGTATTTATATTTTTATTATAAAATTATATTTATATATTGAATATATATTATGTATTTAATAGACATACATACACGAATACGTTTAGATTTATTTAGATATTATATATGGATAAATATAAATATCCTATTAAAGGATATCCTAATAGAAATAAGCTATCCTAAAAAGCCTATTTCTATTCTATAATATTTATGTTGTGTATTGTATTTATTTTCATTTTATTTGAAGTACATAAATAAATATATTTTGTTTATACTACATACTATTTGTATATTATATATTGTGTATTGTTTTATTTGTTTATGTTTCATTATGGGGTTTTTTCACAGAATGTGTGAATACAGAACTCACACATAGGCACAATTTTAATAAAAACTATTCTGAAAAGAACAACATGCTGGTTAGTGGTGGACTAGCATAGCTTTGAACCTGCCGGTTAAGAGGGACACCAGCATCCAAAACACAACATATGCTGAAGGGAAGACTTTAAAGGCTTTAATAGAACATAGGGCCTATAGTCTGGACTGAAAGCAAGCGGTGAGTCATATGTGTGTCTGAATATATACACAACCACATTGTCATGAGTGAGTCACACGCATCCAATAATAATGTGTGAGAATTATGCTTCTGCAGGTGGTGTTCAGGGCATAAACTTGACAGAATCAAAATGTCCTGTTTGAAATATAACCTTACCTAGCACGGCTATAAGTCATCCTCCACCAACACTGATAAATTTGTGCAATGAACATTCTGTAAAAGTTGCAATGTCCTTGCTTTTTCCAAGAAATTGCACAACAGCAGCAATCACTAGTGATTTAATGATTTTCCGGATATAAAATGTGAGTCAGTGCCATGAGTCTGGTGCTATGCTCATAAATTTCATTCTCAGAATGTTATGTAACCCAAGTTTTCAATGTGAATGAAGATAAATGCTAGCATGGCATAGTCTCTTACTGTGCAACCAACAAAGCCAGTAATCACCGGCCGTCCACCCCCACACTGAGCTTGTAAACAAAACAACAGTTCACGCCTTACAAGCTGCAAAATGTGAGCTTACACAAATGCCAGCCAAAATCCTACCAATGCATTGTTTCATTGTTTATATATATAGAAACACACACACATATATATACATATAGTTTTTTTGCGATTGTAGTAATTGAAGTTATATTTTTAGTATTGTTTTAGATATGTAAACATGCCGTATCATATATTGGCCGTGCTAAGTGGAGGGGGAGGGCTTGTTCGAGAAATGGAAAGTTGTGGTGAGGTGCAGGAAGCGCATGTGTGGGTGTTTGAAGCGGAGGCCAGTTCTCAAGGTCCCGAGGCTACGATATTTATAACCCCGCTGGTTCACCCTTGCACTTGCTTGCTTTCTCTTGCCTCGTAGATAAAGAAGCGTCTTAATCCAGGTCACTGCACAATTCTGAGAGATGCTAGTTTTCGCTTTCTGCATGAGTGGATAAGGTGCATTTGTAGCCTACCACAGATTTGCACATTTTCCATGACCATGCGAAACCTGACATAACTTGAGTGTTTAATATAGCTTATATCTTTATTGTTGCCCTCCTTTGTTTGTTTGCAATGTTTAATTTCCAATAGAATATGGGTTCACTTGATTCGACGCATCCTGATGTAGTTGATTGTCCTACATTAGCACATCTAGAAGTACTACCCGATTGTCCTGCAGAGAGAACCATGAATAGCATCTCCCCACAATCATCCTGCTAATCTGCATCCAACTGTTCCTGGGCGGGGTCATCGCCGCCCCGCAGGGGTCCTCAGTCTGCCACATTGTTTAGAATGCTAAAGAGGAGCACAATAGATGGGTGATTGTGATGTAGTGAAAGCACAATGATATTCTTTGATGAGCCATTAATGAGTAATACCAACGCCAGTATCTTATTTGTAGAATCTTTGCTGATTTTGGCATTTAATGCTAATTAAATTGTCACAATTTTCAGTTTTAGAATTAAATACTAATCACATTCTCGGAGATTGTATTTTAATTAAAGCAGAGAGCAAAATTGGTTGAACAATTTTTAACTTCTCAGTATAGTTCTTACACAAACATGCAAATGTTGCAAAAACGTGTTTTTTTTTAAAACGAAGAAACAACCATGTTTCATATTCATTTTACTCCTTTTACTAATCTGCACGTGATAAAAAATATAAGTTTTGGTCAACAGAGATTTAAAACAGGCTATAATCAGTTCCTCATAAGGCTATACAAATATAACCAGATGTATAATCGTGTGCTCAAAAGGAAACATGAATTATAATGTAGAGCGAATGTCGCATGAAACGTAGCCTAAAAAGATCATCAAATGTATTTATATAGGCTATGTAGTGTTTCTTGCACAAATGCAAGATTGTGAAACAATTCCACTGCAGATAAATTCAGTGACCTTGTCTTCTGAGCATATGTTGATCTTGTCAACCTCTAATGTCACCACTATTTAAAAAAATCGATAACCACAGATTATGCAATATAAGTTAATGATTTTTGAATAATGATTTAGAATGATCGAGCATTGCATTGTAGCATAGGCCTACATCTACAGAAAAATAAACGCTTTAATGGGATTTTAGAAACATGTTGTAGTAGCTTATTCAGTTTTATTCAAATATTTCAACGAATAGAAAACAACAACACATTTTTGCTTATGAAATGGCAACGATTAATATGTTTATGTAATATTATATAATAGGGGGAGAAAATGGCGCTTCCTTGTTGCGCACTTTAAAATACGATGCGCGTGAAGCCGCGCGATAAATTGGTTTAGTCTTTCCAGATCTTTTTTTTTTTTTCTTTTTTAATTGACTTGCAAAATTGTTTTATATATATATATATATATATACATTTCCCCCCCCTAATATAAATTAATATTATTTTCCTGCAGGTGATTCAACATGTCTGACGAGGGAAAGCTCTTCATCGGTGGTCTGAGCTATGATACCACAGAGCAGTCCTTGGAGGAGGCATTCTCCAAATATGGATCAATTGCCAAAGGTTTGTCTTAAGTCATTTTTAAACTAAGTTTGGCTACATTCTTACAACGTTATTCTTGATTATGTGGTTCTTTTTGCCTTAGTTGATGTCATCAGGGACCGTGAGACCGACCGCTCCAGAGGCTTTGGCTTTGTTACGTTTGAGAATCCAGAGGATGCCAAGGATGCCATGGCTGCAATGAATGGAAAGGTAAGATTGACGTGTTTAAGGATGGAGGAAATTGTAACCAAATGTTGTAAGGTTTATTTCTAGGATTGAAAAACTGACTTTTGATGCCTAGATGTGTATTAATCATTCATTTAATAGTGAGCTGCAGAAAGTTCATCAGTCAAACTGGATGGAGGCCTGAAATCAGTTAACCATGAAATGCATCTTTTTTTGCAGTCTGTTGATGGCCGCATGATTCGTGTTGATGAAGCTGGCAAATCTGGTAGACGGTCCGGTGGATTCAGAGGCGGTTCTGGAGGTGGCAGGGGGTTCTTCAGGGGTGGTAGAGGTTGGTGTTGATGTTGAATGCAGTTCAGTGTTTCCCATGCCATTATATTAGCGGCCCACTCCCCGCCCCCGTGAAGGTCAAATTAATTTTAATTATATTCTCTATAGCGCCAGATTACAACAGAAGTCATTTAAAGTTGCTTTTCCTATAGAACAGGTATATACCTTGTTCTTTTATTAAGCAAACTAAATAGCCTTATTTATCTTATTTAAACGATGGCATATCATTTTGATCTCTACGTTATGGTCCCGCTCTCTGCATCACGCACAGCGGAGTTCCGCCCGATGCGCGTGCACAAGTGAGCCCACTCCCACTAGTGTTTGTAAATATTAAGCCGCAAAACGATTAATATTTAAATATGAATTCTGCGTGTCTCGTTAATGAATGGCGCAGACCTGCGGTTTTGTTTACTACTCATACTGAAACGCTTGTGAATTTTCCGTTGATATTAACGTCTGCTGTCTCACTGAGGATGTAAATACATGAACAACATCTCCAGAACTGCTCTGAGAGTCACTGTATGAGCATTTGACAGTTTAATTTCAGTAAAACTTATCATCATGTCATACACACACAGAAATGTAATGGTATTCACTGCAACCCGTCAAAATAAAAGTTTGGTTTAACTTGAGGGCATTGGCAGAAATATATTACTATTGTGGTGTAGACTGTACGTAACCGGCTGCTACTACTACTAAAATTAAAACCTTATTTTTAAGGACTAAGCATTCAATATTTCTTTCAATGTTTTAATTGTAATATTAAATTACCTTTATTTTCCAAAAAATAAAATGTTTAATTTATTACTTAAAAGATTAAATTAATGTTCTATGCCTTAAAACA